TGGTGTGCTTCATTTAACTAAAATTAATTCTGTGTATAGAGTTATTTTCAATCCATCAACATCAATCATGAGGAATAAACAATAATAATCCCCCTCAATATGATTAATTAGTTAAATCTATAATATATAATAACTTAATGATTTATTTAAATCTACATTTTTAAATTAATATTTTGAAAGTATTCCCTATTTTATTAGAATCATTTCAAGTCACTAAGACATTGATTGGGTCCACTTAAAAAAGAATTTGGACATTTTCTCCAATCCTTCTATCACTTTATCTTTAAGATCTTTTTCTGATTTCATATATTAATTTCTCAGCTGTGAATAGATATTAACCCATAAATGTTCAATGGGATATTAGTCTGGACTCTGGAGAGCAGTTTCATACCAGCCATTTAAATTTAATGAAGCTTTATATCTACTATATCATGGTAAAAATTGCTTGTTCGATCTATACCCACATTCATCATTATAGTTCATATATTTTTATTTAACATATTACGATATATACTTACGATAAGTATATTAAGATATATACTTAACTTGTCAATCACTAAATCTATAAAAGCCAATTTTCCGACAATATATTCACATACACAGAACACTTCTGCCTCCAACTTTCACTGTAGCAGACAAATTTTTCAGTTCAAATTCCTTTCTAGGTTTCTTTCATATTGATCCAATTCATACATTAAATTTGCTTTAATCTGCATACAGTAGTCTGTAAGTTTTTAATAAACTGCAAACAGTTAAGTTTTTGCCTAAGCAAAAGCCAACTGTTTCTTATTCCTTGAATTTATAAAGCTTTTACTCTATTTGGCTTTAAATCCATATTGTTTTAATACTCTCTAAATCAAATGAGATCCAGGATGTTTTCATAATTGTTCTCCTTTCTTGAGTTACTTTTGTAGATGGGTAGGACCAGTACTAAAAAAATAGATATAGAATGATACTGAATCTCGGGAAAAAACTCTGCTCAAAAGGAAATAGATGCTAAATAATTGTCCAAAGCTACTTGAAACTACTCTCCACAGTGCAGATTCAAATCAAATCAAACATTTCTGGACTTCACAGCAGCGGAAACAAAATACAAATTGATTTAAAAATCTTAAAAATAAATTGATAAGCTTTGGAGATATGTCCAAGCGACTTGGAATGGTACCCAAAAACAAGGTATTGCATTAAAAACATTAATACAAAAACAATTAATTGGTTCACATTCTTAACATTTTAAATCAGATTCTATTTCTCCTCTTCTTGCGATGGCATATAGGTCAAAATTTAAAAAAGTAAAAAACCATTGTTTTTATTATTAATACATTTTAGGGATACATTGGCCTTCTTCAGCATATGTCCAACATGTTTTGGGAAGTCAAACTGATTTTGCTAAATAACTGAACATTCTTTTAACTTGGACTAGCCCAGTTAGATTGGGATAACAATACTGGGATATGTATTCTGAAGAGATTTTATATAATGATGTATACGAAAACTTTTGCTGCATTAAAATTGTTATATTTTTATGAAAAACTTATTTATTAATTTTTTAACAATTTTCTTTAAAAAAATTAATATTTTTTATTGATTTATTTATTCCCAATCAGTCCATGTATGAAAACTTTAGCTAGTCACTGTCAACATTTGTATATTAGATATATTAAAATACTAATAAAATATATTTCATGGGATCAGTCAAGGTGAATAAAACAATTTTTATTGTGTTGTTTTCTTTATTTCACAGCATAATAAAGTATTAGCCAACAATCTTGGACATCATCAGGGCTAAAAACAATAAAGAAAGGAATGTATTGAATACTAAATACAAACTTGTTTCCACATAGCTAATCTCTAGTCGGGTCTGCCCGGTGAAATAATAAAATTTGGTTAAATTAAGATACATTTATTAATACATATTTTGTAATGAAAATATAAACCCCATTAGTTAAAACGATGCAAACTATTGATAATGACCTTAAATTATTTCAGAAAAAATGAAGAATAATTCATAAATTTCAGTACCTCCAGCAGAGATGAGCAAATGTTATTTTGAGTACCGATTATCGAGTATTTCACTCAAATTGAATCACTACTTCAGTCAATCATATGACATCAACTGAAGTAGTAATTAAATTCTTTGGTACTCAAAAAAAATTGTCCCTAATTGTCCCAATTCATAAAAAGGGCAGCTTCACAGATTGTGAAAACTATAGGCCTGTAAGCTTACTTTCAATGGCTTACAAATTATACTCCTCAATCTTAGAAAGAAAATTAAGACTAGTAGTTGAGAACTAAAGAGAGAGTGAACAAGCAGGCTTTCATCCAGGCAGGCAGACTCAAGATCACATTTTTGTACTAAGAGGTATTGCAGAGAAAGCATAGGACAGAGAATAGAACATATATATGGCATTTCTGAACATTAAAGCAGCATTTGACTCTGTTCCAAGACAAGAAATATGGGATGCTTTGGCAGCAAAAAGATGTCCCAGCTGATCTTATCATGGCAATTAAATCAGCTCATAAGGTAGCAAAAGGAATTGTAAGGATTAATGGTAGAGAATCCAAGGATTTTACCATGGAGAGAGTAGTCAGGCAGGGAGACAGCCTCAAGTCCCCTCTTGTGTTCATCATATTTATGGATGAAATCTACTTGTACTGCTTGGACGGTCATCAGAAAATAGAACATGCGGAATATTATAGTCCAAAGCCTTTTATATGCCGATGATATCGTTTTGATTGTGGACACGAAAGACAAGCTGCAGCAGGCCCTTGCAGAATGGCAGAAAGAACTCCTCCGCAAAGGTATGGTTATCAATAGCTTCAAAAGCAAAGTCCTAGTCATATCAAGAGGACCTCCAGCTATTAGGGGAACCAAGAATTCACCTATTTGGGGACAATTATCAGCAACACGGGTAAGATTGACCCAGAAATAGCGAATAGGATATCCAAAGTCAACCAGGCTATTATCCTATCTGTAACAGCATAGTAGGGCACAGGGAAGTTGGCAAGGCAAGTCGGTATACCTCCCAACCCTCACATATGGAAGCGAAAGCTGGTTAATGCTGGACAAGCAAGTTAGTCGTGTGGCAGCAGCCGAGATGAAGTGGCTGAAAAGACAAGGAGGGACCGCGTCAGGAATGAACGCATGAGAGAGGATCTGGAGCTGGCGGAGCTAAGGGCATTACTGGAAAACCAACAGTTGAAGTGATTTGGCCACGTTTGTCGGATGGAGGAGGAAAGAGATCCGCGAAAGGTTCTCAAAGCATGACCCACTAGGAGGAGGGCGAGAGGCCACCCCAAAATTTCCTATCAGGAGTATTTGCAGCGGATTGGAGAGAAGAAAGGTAAAATCCTCCAGTAAATGAGGCGGCTTAGTAGGGACCGAGAGGCATGGCTGCATTGGATAGAGGCTCCTCGATTCTAGTAATGGCACAAAAAGGAAGACAAAGAAGAAGTACTAAAAAAAAAAAAATGTCAGTATTTGAATAAAATACTTGGTACTCAGTACTCAAAGTAGCATTTGCCCATCTCTGCCTCCAAGTGACCTCAAATACAAAATATGTTTGGTAGAGCAGTTCGTAGCTATTATAATATAGTACTAATGAACTTTCAATATTTTTTTTGTTTTATTTGTTGACAAGCCATGAAATATAAATGATATAAAATAAAAAAGTAAGACTGCTATTAAATGCAATTAAGAAGGCAATAATAAAAGTCTTGCATAGACTGATGATAATATAATGGACAGATATTAGAACAGTTTTTCAATGTAAAAAATATTTAAAAACTATGTTGCAATCATCTGTTGAAAGCTCTGTTATAAACATTTATTGAAACCAGGTTAAAGATAAGCCACTAAGCCAATTGTAATGACAAAAAGTGACTTCAATAAAAAAAAAGTAAGCATTTTATTGATTCAATTCAACATATAATTTATGTAAAGATATTTGACAGTAGGTTGAGTATTAAACAATTTCATTGGCAAAGAAACATGTATTCAAAATAATAAATAAAAAACTAGATTCGAAAAAAGGTAATAAACATTTTAACTGTAATATAACTATAGAATAAATCAATTATAACCATGTTCAGTAAAGTCTGTAAAACAGTTGACCAATTTCACCACAAAATTCAGCTAATAAATTAAAGGTTATTTTAAATAAAAGTAAATCCAACAAAGATCATCAAACATGAACTGAGTAGAGAAGCATCATAGCAAGAAGTTATCAAACAAAATGCTAAATCAACATTTGAGTTCAAGTCAGATAAACATTTTTTATATTTATTCCTTTCATTTTTATTTTTATTTTTGTTTTCAAAGAAAAATAAATTACTTTCGAGATATGAAGCATGAAACCAATACTTTACAATATAAGTTTATAAACCAATCAAATTTATAAATAATTCCACAACGAAAAACAACAAGTTTACATCAATTCACTTCCAACTCAAAAATCTTACCCTTTCTTGTGGGGTTACTTTTTGATTAAAATGAGTATTTAAATTATAATGTTAGTTTTTCTACTGATGCTATGAGCAAATGAATGATTAGTTAAACAGGAAAAATATTTATTTTCTAACTAGGTCCTTTTTTTTCTTTAGAAAAAATACATCAAATTTAGCCATAGACACCTAATTTCTAAATTCTACAAATGCCACAAAACTAATTAATAATGAACTTATGCTTTAGCAATTCTATACATAAGCAAATCACTAGAAAAAATTAAATTCTATAAAAGCAAAATTCCTTTAATAATATCGAAAGAGTTTATTAAATCAGTAAACTTATAGAATGGGACATTCCTGGCAAAAATAAAAAATATAGATGTAGTTCACATCTCACATTTGCATATTATAAATTCAAGCATTGACAGGCATGCTTTATAAAGCATAGTACCATTTCAAACTAATTGTTCAAATCAAATGCAAAAAATCAAGAAATAAAAAAGTACATAACGAGAAAAAATTCCTGTAGTAAAATCAAAAACTGAACTAGGTACCTGATCTGTTGTTGAGATCAGCAATTAAACCAACGAGATATAAGAAAACTGACGTATTCCGATGAAAAGTATAAACCTTTGATTACTTATTATTTACTAGATGCCCATTAAATTATGACCTCAAGTTAAATGAAATAAAAAAACTTTTATAGATTACTAACCTACCAAAAGCGCAAGTTAAAATTAATTCCAGGCTGGCTTAGAATGACGTAATTAAAACAAGTTGGTTAATTAGATACACATGAGGATCTTATGTAACCTCACTTGGTCGTATTCATTCCTTCTACGTTGAGACTGATAGGGTGTGCCCTATCTCTCTTTCCTCTGAGGAGAATTGCCTGAGTCTTTGATACGACCTTCTGCAACCTCATCCTCTCACACCATTGTCCTACAGGCTGTCGCACAGCGGAACAAGTAAGGGAAAACTCACGACATCGGCTAAATCTATTTTTAAGTTTTTTCAATTGAACTATTCAAAAAATACAGTGTAAAATGTATATTGTGCCAAATGGAAATATTCTCGGAAACTCCACGGACAACACAAGGTATCAATTAAACAGTTTATTTAGTTTTTGGAGTTCTAAAAAAAAAACTGATTTAGATAGAGTGAGAGGCGCACCGTTACGCTTTTTCCTTTATTGCAGCTGTGTTAGATGTTACCACAGCCACCAACTTGTCGACGTAGGCAATCGTTCCTTTTCAAGTATCCTCAGCAACTCATTAAATACTAATTTCCAATAGGCTGGACCAAGGACTGATCCTTGTGAACATCATCTCACTATAAAAGCTTATGTTTCATATTAACTATTTATGGCATTTACATTGGGAACTGCGTATTAATGCAAAATATGTCAAAAATCAGCAACATGACATGCCGCTCCGTCTTCTGTTTTACATCCGTGTGCACTCGACGGCTGTTATCAGCGGAATCATTTCTCTCGATAGAACGATATTGTTGCGGATGTCAAGCCCTTATTAAAACTTGTCGTAACCTAGTTAAAATGAGATTCTGCATGACCTTGCTCATAAAAAGAAGGAGATATATAAGTTTATATAGGTTTGTGGTCATTTACGTAATATTTTTCTACTTCTAGTATTAGGCAGTGTTTGGGGTCCAGTTCTCTACATCCTGTTCACTGCCGATATCCCTTCAAATCCCGATACCTTCCTAGCTACATTTGCTGATGATACTGCCATTCTATCCTCCCACTCAGATCTTCAAATAGCATCTCAAAACCTACAATCTCACCTCTCCTTGATTGAGCAGTGGTGCAGCAACTGGCTCATCAAAATCAATGAAGCAAAATGCAAACATATTACTTTCACCCTGCGACGCAGATCCTGTCCCACAATCCTTTTCAATTCAATACCACTTCCCTACTCAGATACAGTCCGATACCTTGGCTTCCTTCTGGACAAAAGACTGACTTGGTACCCACATACGAGACTTAAAAGACAAGAGCTTAACCGACGATATGGTCAGCTATATAGACTACTAAACAGAACATCTCATCTCTCAACAGAAAACAAATTATTAATCTACAAGACCATACTGAAACCTATCTGGACATACGGACTTGAACTGTGGGGGACAACTAAATCATTGAATATCAAACGCATCCAATCCTTCCAGTCCAAAGTCCTTCGAACAATAGCCAATGCCCCATATTATGTCACAAATAAGACCCTACACCATGACCTTAACATCCCATTTGTCCTCGACATCATCCCATCCAGATTCTCAAACTTTCACCAGAACCTTATCCATCATCCAAATCCTCTAGCTCAATCCCTATCCAGCTCCCACCATCCCTACAATCCCCCTCGAAGGTTAAAACGGCAGTTGCCGCGAGATCTATTGTAAATATACTTCTGGAGTCCTGGCAATGGCCAGCTTCTCCACTCAAGTCCTGAGCATCTGTGGCTCTAGTGCCCTCCTTCAGCCTCCACTGACTTTTAATACTAGTGATGCGGCTGGAAAAGTGGCACTGGGATCTCTGGAGTCCTGCTTAGCTTTCCACATGTGGGGAGAAAAGCCTGGCTCGAAGATTCCTGGGCGAATGTATATATTGTATATAGGTATGAATGTGTTTAGAAGTTTTTATTTTATTTTGTTTGTTTATTTATTTAGGGGGCGGGGTGGCCGAATAGGCTAAAGCGTGTGTAACAGCACCGCTAGTTGCCTGGCAACCGGATAACAGAGATTTGAGATGATATAAAAAGTACGAGTTCGCGTCCCGGTGCCGGAGGGGATTTTAAATTCACCGCCCTCACCCCCCGGCCCGGGAAAATCCCGTATAGCCTAAAAGGCGAGGTAGGGAAGAACAAAAAAAAAAAAAAAAAAAAATGTTTGTTTATTTATTTTTTATTTTTTTTATTTTATTTTTTTTTTCCTATTGATTTACATTTTGTTTGTATAAGTATTATTTATTTACTTTTTATATTTATAGTTACTTCTGTATTGATCAAATATTATCTTTACGGCAAATATTAGAGAAAAAATTGGAGTATAACGGTATTGTTCACCAGCTGTATATAGATTTTAAAAAGGCTTACGATTCTATTGACCGCCAGAAACTGTATAATATTCTAATCGAGCAGGGGATTCCAAAAAAACTAGTAAATCTAGTCAGGATGTGCTTGACGGAGACACTCAATAAAGTTAGAATCGGTAATAATTTGTCCGAAAAATTTGAGGTTCGTTCGGGCTTAAAACAGGGGGATTCTCTTTCGCCTGTCCTGTTCAATTTGGCATTAGAACATGCCATTAGGGAGGTAATGCGAACCGAGAAAGGGTTGGATCTGGGTGGGACAACATCCGTGCTGGGCTATGCTGATGATCTGGTACTGTTAAGCGAAGACGTTGAAACTATAAAACTAAATACGACAACGTTAATGAAAGCCGGGAAAGAACTAGGACTCGAAATAAACGTGGATAAAACAAAATATATGGTTAGCTGCAAAAATGGCGATACTACTGGTGATATCGATATAGATGGTAATATGTTTGAACAGGTAGATAAATTTAGGTATCTAGGTTCTACGATAACTAGAAAAAACGAAATTGAAGAAGAGATTAAGGTTAGACTGAAGACGGGGAATGCTTGTTATTTTTCTGTGACAAAAATACTTAGTTCGCGCCTCTTGTCCCGAAACTTAAAAATTAGAATCTATAAAACAATTATCTTACCTACAGTTCTTTATGGATCCGAAACTTGGCCGCTTACATTAAGGGATGAGCAGCGTCAGGTTTTTGAAAATAAAGTATTGCGTAGAATATTCGGACCGAAAAAGGATGAGTTAACCGGAGAGTTCAGACGGTTACACAACGCCGAATTGCGTGAGATGTATCCGGGTAATATAATTGAGGTAATTTCATCGCGGCGAATCAAATGGTCTTGTAAAGTTGTTGGGCTTAGTAACGAAAGAATTCCTAAAAGGTTAATATTTGCTGTGCCGAATGGTAAGCGTCCGAGGGGTAGACCGAAGCGAAGATGGGAAGATTGCATTAAAGCCGATCTGAAGGGACTGGGTTTGGACGGCGAACGGTGGAGGGAGGTGTGTAACAAGCGATTGGTGGTGTCGGCATCGAACCTTCGGGTTCGCTAAGCCTTATTATATATTATATATATATATATATATATATATATATATATATATATACTTCTGTATTACTTGTATATACTGTATGATTGAGAACTTCTAGCCTTAATACTTATAGCCCTCCAACAGTGGCTGATTGTATTATTATTCAATAATTAAAAAAAAAAAAAAAAAAAAAAACTTCTAGTATTCTACTATATGGTGGTATATGGGAGCGTCTCTAGGGAAATAGAGATGAAACTAAAACATCTGATGAATAGCTTTTTACGATTCATCTTCGAGATCCCAATGGACACCTGTATCCCATTTTTATAAAGAGTTGAAGTAGCTTATATATGTGTTGAATTTCAATCATCAATTCGCATTTTTAACATAACCTTTCCGCTTCTTGTGATATTGTACATTTATTCAATGCGTAAACTTGATATAATGAAATCGAAATCGAATAACAAATTTTTAAATATGACTTTGATATTATTAATCATTGAATATATAGATCTATAGAAGCTAGAAAAGTTCAATCTGTCTACTCATATATTTACTCAGTTGTTTACTTTAACTATCAAAAGTAAAATTTGTATATTGAATTTATTCAAAAGTTAGCAATATTTAAAAACGTGACTGTTTTAATTTTGATTTATTTACATCAAATATTCTATAATAAAATATTTTTTGACGAATAAAATATTACGACTAAGCTCAGCCCTTCCGAAGTTCAAGTTCTGGAAAAAATCCCGGTCAGTCGAACATAGAGACGTTCATTCTGCAGTAAGCGATCCGCGAAGGAACATTTACGGGACGTGCTCCAAAGCACCGATCAGAACACTGACAGAACAATTGCCTTCATCCATGATTTCTACTTTCATGGACAGCCCTCATTTTCCTTGACGATATACAACAATGTGAATATGGACATTTTCAATATCAGATAAATACATCCAACTAAAGGTTTATTTAATTTTGTTTTGTATCTATAAGTTATTTTCATTCATTTATTCTTGTTTTCTAGAATAATAAATCACTTTTTTCTTTTTAAAAAATATTACTTCCTTTGTACAGTACACTTAAATATTAGAAGTATGGAATCTCAAACAATATTTGTTTCTGTACATATGTATATAAATTATTAGTTCGTTTTTAATTATAATTATTTCACATTTCTTTCATTTTTTCTCTGAGGTTTTATTAATTATATTTATTTATTTTGTTATTCTTTTTTAAATAGCTCTGAGGCTCCAAAGACCACAATTATGTTACTGTATTTAATTCTAACGGGTCCCCTGGAGTCATGCTATTTCCTCCATAAGTCTGGCTCAGAGTTCCCTCACTTGATTGTAAATAGTGTATATAGATATATATGTGTTCTTTTTTTAATTTATTTTGAAGTTATTTTATTCTTATTTTTTATTATTATTTTTCTGTTTAATTTATTTTTATTTATTGTATAGAG